TCATCTGTTAATTTTTATTTATTATTGATGGAGTCATGGATTCTTATTTTATTCAATAGGTTATAATCTGTTACTGTCAATATTTGTTTTAGTACTTAAATTATCCCAAATTTGGTCACTCAGAGAGCCTCAAGTACCTTCCTATGCCTTTTTGACAAGTCCAGTCTTTTTTTTTTTAATAACATTTTATTACTTGACGTAGAGTGCTCCAGGTTCATCTTCAAGTTATTTCTCCAGGGTTCTATTTTTTTAGGCCAGATGATGTTTAGAAACCACTCTGTCAGGTCAGTACTGTGTAAGTATTAAGGAAAGGATTTTAATTTGCTCATATAAAGAGGTAAGAACTCAGGATAGTTTATTCATACTAATTTTGGACACATTCTGCTTGGCACAATTGGTCTTTTGTTCATACTACTGAACCTGGCAGTCCATATTGTTTGAATTTCTATAGCCTTGTAGTATGTTCTGATCTTAGAGCAAGTTTCCCTTATTTCCAGATTTTTTTTTTGCCTTTTAAAAACATTCTGTCTTCTACATGGATTGTAGAATAGCATGTCAAAAGTCAACTTCCAAAAATATGTTGTTATTTTTTAAAGTATTGAATTAAACTTACTATATAGCTTAGGGCAGAATTTATCTTTTTTACAAGACTGAGATTTCCCATTTAGGATTAAGAAATGACTTCATTTAGCCCTGGCTGATGTGGCTTAGTGGGTTGAGCGTCAGCCTCCAAACTGCAAGGTCACTGGTTGGATTCCTGGTCAGGGCACATGCCTGGGTTGTAGGCCAGGTCCCCAGTTGGGGGCGTGTGAGAGGCAACCAATCCTCACATCAGTGTTTTTCTTTCTCCCTCCCATCCCCTCTCTCTAAAAAAATACAATCTTTTTAAAAAAAAGATGACTTCATTCATTCTTTGGTCATAGGCTTCAGTAAAGGACTTGTAGTTTTTGTAACATAAATGTTGTATGTCAATTGTTATAATTGTCACAGTTTTTGTTATAATATACAGTTGATTCCTGGATGACATGGGGTTTGAACTGCGTGGGTTCACTTATATGCACATGTTTTTCAATAAATACATTGAATGTATTTTCTCTTCCTTATAATCTTCTTAATAATTTCTTTTCTGTAGTTTATTCTAAGAATACAGATTATAATACATGTAACATGCAAAATGTATGTTAATTGTTTGTATTATTGGTTCGACTTCCAGACAATAGTAAGCTAACAGAGTAGTCAGCCCTCTGTATCCATGGATTCCACTCTGTGGATCGAGAATACTTTTTTCAATTCACAGGTGGTTGAATCTGCAGATGTAAAACCCATGAACGTGAAGAGCCAACTGTAGTTAAGTTTTGGGGGAGTGAAAGGGTATATGTGGAGTTTCCACTGTGTGTGGGGTCAGCACCCTTAATGAACCCTGCAACATTGCTCAAGGTAATCAGTAATTGCTTTTGTGTTTGTGAATAGTATATTTTAACAATTCTTTTATTATGAATTTACACATATGCAAAAGTGCCTAAACCATGAATGTGTAGTAATGAATTTTATTTAACCACTGCTTAGCTCAATTAATAGAACTTTGCTGGTACCTTGAAACTCCCTGTTTGCCCTCTTCTTATTATAACCCCCTTCTCCTTCCTTCTCTCTTAAAGCCAGTAAATTAAGGGGAATACAGCTGCTCACATGACTTTCATTATTCTATATAGGCAGCATGACAGTTAAGCAGGAGAGACTTTATTTTCCTGCCACAGATATTTACTGTGTGGACCTTTATGTAAGGGACAAGAATAGTATAATTGATTCTTTTAAGATTAGCTTTATGAAATATGCATTTATTTTCATAAGTCTGTTTCTTATTGAGTCTATGCTAGAATAAAGCAGAGATTATAATATTAAATAAAAAGTTTTTATATTGTATGTTTAATTTAGATATCAAAATGGTAGCCTGGGATTATCTAGCCTGATATAGAAGTTGAAAATCATTGTTCTGGCCATGACCAGGGTAGCTCAGTTGGTTGGGCAGTGTCCTGCAAAGTGAAAAGTCGCCGGTTTAGTAAGGGCACATGTCTGAGTTGTGGGGCATGTACAAGAGGCAACCTATTGATGTTTCTCTCTCACATCGATGTTTCTTTCTCCGTCCCTTACCTTCTCTCTAAAAATAAATAAATAAAATCTTGAAAAGGAAATCATAGTTCTGGTTTCTCTTAGTTTAATGAGATTGTAGAAATCAGTGATACCTCTGCCATAATCTCAACTACCTTTTAGCACTGGTGATCAAGATAAATAAATGTTTTTTTTTCCTACCATCTCTTGGATCTTGGTGTCCGGTCTGTCCTTGAGTGATGCGGACTCTGACCAGCAGGGTCCATGTGTTGTGTTGTAGATGCAATGAACAAATTCACATGGAGGTCCTATGGAGAAAAAGGAATGGCACGGCCATTCTCTGAGTGAGACAGGACCCTGACCCTTGCCTGGAAAGGCTTTTATTGCTTTTCTGGGAGCATTACCTCAAGGAAGGTCTTCATTCATCACTGTCAGACAATAATGATCAAACAATAGATAACATTAAAAGAACTCTGATGGCTTATTCTGAGTCAGGGTCAGTTAGCTAAAGGGCCATAAAACTTTGGGGCACAAACTCATTTTATACTTGGATCCTTATCAGAAAATTGAGGACATTCTTAGCAAAGCAGGTTTCACGGGGTTTTGTGCATTCTTTTTTTAGACCTGATCACCCCAGGGAACCACCCATTCCTACCCAGGGCTGCACTGCCCTCTGTCATTGTTTCAGGCTTAAGTTAGGCAGGGGAAGTAAGGCAGTCAAGAGATTAGGAGGCTTCTTGCAGACAGAGTGAGGACTCAGGCTACTTCAAAGCCTAGGGGCAAGGGTCCATCACCCCTGAGGGCTTTCTTTGAGGGCCCCCTCATGACCATGCCTGTCTTAAGTTGTCCCTAACTTGAGGAATCTTACTCGTCATTGGCTAACCCATTGTGCATTGGGGGCCAGGCAGGTGAAGTAAAAGGGGACAGAGGCAACACCCCTACCAGGAAGATAAGCTTTGTCTCCTTAGTGGCTTATAGTCCCAAGGTCTCTTTACTCAGCCTTAGCCATGGGGGTTACAGCTTTTGAAACCAGGCAGGGCAGTTCCCAACAATTGAGCCTCTTCTCACTGCATACTTTTCTCTGAGCTATCTCCTACTGTTGTTTTAGTGCCTACATTTATCCTCATAAAAATGTACATTTATTTCCTAGACCAGGTTTTCCTGACTGTGAAAAATGAATGGATTTTAACTAGGGTCATCTTACATCTACCTGATTGAGTTTTTTTTCTCTAAGTATCTTTTTATTTCATTTTTTAATTGTTGTTCAAGTACAGTTGTCTCCATTTTCCTCCCACCAATGCCTCCCCACACCAGCCATCCCCACCTTTCTCCCCTGATTCCACCCCCTCCCTTGGTTTTGTCCATGTATCCTTTATTGGTCTTCCTGAAAACCCGTCACTGTTTTTTTCCTCATTATTCCCTCCCTCCTCCCCTCTGGTTACTGTCAGATTGTTCTTAATTTCAGTGTCTCTGGTTAAATTTTGCTCGCTTGTTCATTTTGTTGATTAGGTTCCACTTAAAGGTCAGATCATATGGTATTTGTCTTTCACCGCCTGGCCTATTTCACTCAGCATCATGCTTTCCAGTTCCATCCATGCTGTTGCAAAGGGTAGGAGCTCCTTTCTCTCTGCTATGTAGTATTCTATTGCGTAAATATACCACAATTTCTTTATCCACTCATTTACTGATGGGCACTTAGGTTGCTTCCAGCACTTGGCTATTGTAAATTGTGCTGCTATGAACATTGGAGTACATAGGTTCTTTTGGATCAGTGTTTTCAGGGTTCTTAGGGTATAATCCCCACAGTGGAATTGTTGGGTCAAAAGGCAGTTTTATTTTTAGTTTTCTATGGAAATTCCATACTGTTTTCCATAGCGGCTGCACCAGTCTGCATTTTCACCAACAGTACACTTGGGTTCTCTTTTTTCCACATCCTTCTCCAATACTTGTTTGATTTGTTTGTGATGGCCATTCTCACTGATGTGAAGTGGTGTCTCATTTTGTGGTTTTAATTTGCATCTCTGATGGCTAGTGATGCTGAGCATCTTTTCATATGTCTCTGGGCCTTCTCTATGTCCTCCTTGGAGAAGTGTCTGTTCAAGTCCTTTGCCCATTTTTCAGTTGGGTTGTTTATCTTCCTGGAGTCAGTTTTTAGGGATCAGGAATTTGACTTAAGTCTGGCCTAGGGAAATCTTTGCAGAATTGAAGTACAGAGGAACACTTAGCCTATGAAAGTTAATGATTATGCTGTGAAAGAGGTTATATTCATTATGTTGTTAGATATATATTTTTAAAATTTTTCAAGCAGTTCTTTTTAGTGTGCCACATTATTTTTTATTATATTTATTGGGGTGATGTTGGTTAATAAGATCATATAGGTTTAAAGTATAGATTCCTATGATACATGATCTGTATATTGCATTGTGTACCCACCACCCAAAGTCAAATTATCTTCATTCACAATATATATGGCCCCCTTTACCCTTTACCACCCCTCTCCAACCCCTTCCCTCTGAGAATCATCACACTATGCTAATTGTATTAGCACCATATTATGCTAATAGAAATTAGATATATTATCATCAGTTTCAGTATCTCATCTGTCTTCTTTATACATCTTTATAGTTGTTTGTACCTTTTAAGAAATGATGTTAATATTATTCTTGAAATGTTAATTCTAAAGACTTTTGTCTTTTTTCTCCCTATCTTTTATTTTCTGAGGTACTAAGGAAAAAGTGCTCACATTTTGGCAGAATATTATAGCACACTTAGTTAATGGTGCTTTCTTATGTAACTCATCAGGGCTTCTTTTAATTTTCAGTTCTGTTTTATGTTTGTTTCTATCTCTTTTTTTTTTAAAGAAATACACTAATAATTTTTGCATTTGCCTCTAGAAAAACTGATTGCTTATCAACGAGAATTTCTTGCTTTGAAAGAACGTCTTCGAATAGCTGAACATAGAATCTCACAGCGCTCTTCTGAATTAAGTGCCATCGTACAGCAGTTCAGGCGTGTAGGAGTAGAAACAAATGGGAGTAAGGACACGTTGAATAAATTTTCAGGTACATATTATATTTTTGGTTTTATAAAAAGATTGTGTTTTCAAAAAGTTATGTGAAATATTTTATTTGAAGGTTGTGTAGAGTAGCTTGTCAGCCAGCATTTGTTACCCTTTTTAGAGAGAAAAATCACACATAAAACTTTCTATTATCATAAATTATAAAGGTTTTTGTTAATTGATTTTAGGAGAGTAATAATGGGTTAAATTTCACTTGTATAAATTTCATTGACAACAGTGTTTTTAAAACCATATTGAAAATGAGATCAAATTTTAACTTTGTATATATACGTTTATGTTGTGACTTGGGTGGACTTCAGATATACTCTGGAGAATCTTTGAGCTATTGGAAGTAATCTTAGATCTGACTTAATAAGAAAAATTATGAAGTTTTGTTATTGGTACTTTTGGACATATTTGACTATTTCTCTCTCTGAGGGCTTCTGGTTAGAGTAAAATGAGTGCCAACCTTCTCTCTGTTTCTGTGTTGTTCTTATCCTAATAATTAAATTGATACATGTAGTTCCTCTTGTCTTAACATTCACTACCTAATCTTATTTTTAAAATTTCATGCTTATTGTTTGCCTTCCTGATTACAGAGTTGATTGTGGCATAACAACATTTAAAATAATGCAGTGGTATAGATAACAAAAACAAATCATCCATAAGCCTCCTGCTAAGTAATTTGTTAACATTTGTTTTTCTTTTTCATCTAGTCTTTCCTTCATGAATAGTTTACTTTAGAATTGTGATTGTGTGTTATGGACTGATTTGAACTCTTGAAATTATACTCTTAGCATTTACTATGTCATTGAATATTCTTCAAAAATACCATTTTTTAAAAGATTTTATTTATTTATCTTTAGAGGGGAAGGAGAGAGGGAGAGAAACATCAATGTATGGTTGCCTCTCCTGCATCCCCTGCTGGGAACTGGCCTGCAACCCAGGCATGTGCCCTGACTGGAAATCGAACTTGATCCTCTGCTTCACAGGCCCGCGCTCAATCCACTGAGCTACACCAGCCAGGGCTAAAAAAATACCATTTTTAATGGCTGTATAACTTCTCAGCTAATTATATATTGTAATATATTAAACATTTTACTATATTTAGGCAAATATGATTTTCTGGGTGTTTTTCCACCACTTTTTAGCTCTGTGATGAACATATTTGCATATAAGCCAGTCATATTTCTGGTAGCTCTTTTAAGTTATTTTCATTAGGTTATGACATTCTTAAAGACAGAATCTTTGTTTAGATAACTGTCGATTTCCAAACACATGTCACAGTGGCTGCAACAAAATAGATAATCACTAAATATTCACTGAATGAATAAAAGTTACATTTCTAAAAGGGAAATTATTGAATGATAGGACAGATATGTTTTAGGGTGTTTGATGTCTGAATAGCTGAAATATTTATCACATTATCACCAAAATTTAGTATCATTATTTACTTAGATTTCGAAAGTGTCTTTTCATTTTAAATGGAGATCTCATTCACCAAAGTATGAAATTAGGAAAGAAAATTCTTTAGTTCTAGTTTTGTCAGTTTTACTGCTATATTTGTAAAAGCTGCAACTTCTGTAAGTAAAGTGTCCTGTGGATTAATTATTTTTCTGTTTCAGATAATACGCTAAAGCTATTAAAGGAGTTAACAAACAAAAAATCTCTTCAAGTGCCAAGCATTTATTATCATTTGCCTCATTTACTGCAAAATGAAGGAAGCCTTCAACCTGCTGTGCAGATTGGTAATGGAAGAACAGGAGGTATTGTTTATTTTGTTTCTTTTTGTGGTCGTACTGCTGGTCTTAATTTGTGTCTTGCAGTATTATATTGACTGTTAGAAGTCTGGCAGGTGAGAGAATAAAAACCCTTTTTCTGTGCTTGGTAACTTAGGATTCATTCTAAAGTTCACATTGAAAGGAGGTGGACATTTTTCTCAATAGACCAGATTAATGGAGCTGAAAAGGATCACAAGAAATCTAGTTCAAGCCCCTTTTCTAGGCAGAAAAATGTTTAAACCTTTGTCATTTTTAATTTTAAAAATTTGAGGAAGATGACCTTTTTTTCTGTAATATTAATAGCTCTTATAGTAATGTCAAGAAAATTTTTCTTATATCTGCCCCTATTTTTCATGTAGAGATGGAAGTACATAGTTACTTTATTTTACCTTTCATTAAATGGTCGAAATTTGTTGCTTTGTTTTTTTTTCTGATACAACCAAAGATAATTTATACCAATTTCTTTTCTCTTGGAGCTATAAGAGTTTCTTAAACTTTTCTTGTGGGATCTCTTCACCATTGGTTTAAGCTTTTATTTCTCCACTTTGTGTTAATTTTTCTTTGTAGATTTTTTAATACAGAGGCCAAAATATTATTTTGCTCTCCTAATAACTTTTTAACAAATGATGAAACCATAACTTCATAGTTATTGAACTTTATCTTTAAATATATTTTATTGATTATGCTATTACTGTTGTCCCAAATTTTCCCCCATTACACCACTCCACCTGGTACCCCCATTCCCTGCAGCAATCCCCTGTTTAGTTCATGTCCATGGGTTGTGCACGTAAGTTCTTTGACTTCTCCATTTCCTATACTGTTCTTAACATCCTCCTGTCTATTCTGTACCTACCATTTATACTTATTATTTCCTGTGCCTTTTCCTCTATTCTCCCCGCTCCCCTGCCCAGCTGATAAACCTCCAAATGATCTTCATATCTACGATTCTGTTCCTGTTATGGTTAATTGCTTAGTTTGCTTTTTATTTTTTTATTGACTATACTATTACAGCTGTCCTATTTTTTTCTTCCCCTTATCCCTCTCTGCCTGTTGCCCCCATTCACTCCAAATTCCCTACCCTTTCACTTTAGTTCATGTCCATGGGTCATACATACAAGTTCTTTGGCTTCTCCATTTCCTACACTATTCTTAATCTCCCCCTGTCTATTTTGTATCTACCAATTATGCTTCTTACTCCCTGTAACTTTTTCCCCATTCTCTTCCTCCCACTCCCCACTGATAACCCTCCTTGTGATCTCTATATCTGTGATTCTTTTTCTGTTCTAGTTATTTGCTTAGTTTTTTTATTTTAGGTTCAGTTGTTGATTGTTGTGAGTTTGTTGTCATTTTACTTTTCATAGTTTTGCTCTTCTTTTTCTGAGATAAGTCTCTTTAACATTTCATATAATAAGGGCTTGGTGATGATGAACTCCTTTAACTTGACCTTCTCTGGAAAGCACTTCATCTGCCTTTCTATTCTAAATGTTAACCTTGCTGGATAGAGTAATATTGGTTGTCTGTCCTTGCTTTTCATCACTTTGAATACTCCTTTCCAGCCCCTTCTTGGCTTTATTTAGTGGCTATACTCAATCATTTCTGTGAGCATTCTGATTACCAGTGTTTTTTTAAAAGATTTTATTTATTTATCTTTAGAGGGGAAGGGAAGGAGAGAGGGAGAGAAACATCAATGTATGCTTGCCCCTCATGAGTCCCCTGCTGGGAACTGGCCTGCAACCCAGGCATATGCCCTGACTGGGAATCAAACTGCAATCCTCTGGTTCACAGGCCAGCACTCAACCCACTGAGGTACTCCAGCCAGGGCTTTGATTACCAGTGTTTTGACTCTTCATCTGATAGGTTGGCTATCTCCTCATTGCTTAGTTCTTTTTCTAGAGTTTCAACCTATTCTTTCATTTGAGCCATATTTCTTTGTCTTGGTGCACCCGTTACCTTGTAAGGGTCAGAGCCATCAGTACTTGCAAGGGTGGGGCAACCCACTTTGCTGCATTGTGGTGTTGTATGTGGGAGAGGGGTGAGAGGGAGAATGATGCCACTTGCTTGGCTGTTGCCCAACTTTCAAGAGACTGGCAGTTTCTCCCAGTGCCACTACCTCCATAGGTTTTACAGCCAGAGGTTTTGTGGCTCTCTTTACCTGCACTAGAACCCTGGGTTGCATGGTCTGTCTAATACCAGTTGTTTGCAAATGTGGGACTGCCTGGTTTGCCAGCTGCTGCCTCACCTATCCATTCTACCAGTTGCCATGTTGCTGTGCCTCCTCCCCACCCTGGCTGCCCATCTCCTCCCCTCCTACCCCAATGGATGAATGCTTCTTCTCTAACTCCTTGGTTGTTGGACTTCCATACAATTTGATTTTCTGGCAGTTCTGGCTATTTTTTGTTTTTAAATTGGTTGTTATTCTTTTGGTTGTGTGAGGATGTGAAGCGCATCTACCTATGCCTCCATCTTGGTTGGAATTGCTTAGTTTTTAAGATTCAGTAGTTGATAGTTGTGAATTTATTGCCATTTTAATTTTTATTGTTTTAATGTTATTTTTCTTACATAATTCCCTTGAACATTTCATATAATGAGGGCTTGGTGATGATGAACACATTTACCTTGTCTGGGAAGCACTTTATCTGCCCTTCCATTCTAAATGATACGTTTGCTGGATAGAGTAAACTTGGATGTAAGTCCTTGCCTTTCATGACTTCAAATACTTCTTTCCAGCCCCTTCTTGCCTGCAAGGTTTCTTTTGAGAAATCAGCTGATAGTCTTACAGGAACTCCTTCGTAGGTAACACTCTGCTTTTCTCTTGCTGCTTTTAAGATTCTCTGTTCATCTTTAACCTTTGGCATTTAATTACGTGTTTTGGTGTGGTTTTTTTTTTAGTCCATCTTGTTTGGGACTCTTTGTGCTTCCTGTACTTGTGTATCTATTTATTTGACCAAGTTAGGGAAGTTTTCTTTCATTATTTTTTCAGATAAATTGTCAGTTTTTTGTTCTTCCTCTTCTCCTTCTGTCACCCCTATGATTCAGATGTTGGTACATTTGGAGTTGTCCCAGATGCTCCTTAGCCTATCCTCATTTTTTTGTTAAATTCTTTTTTCTTTTTGTTGTTCTGACTGAATGCTTTCTTCTGTTTGTTCCAAATCATTGATTTGATTCTCAACATTATTCCTCCACTGTTGGGTCCCTGTAGATTTTTCTTTATTTCACTTAATATAACTTAATGTCTGCCTGTGTCTGTTTCATGTTGGTGCAATATCCAGCGAGTTCTTTTTTATGTTGGTGCAATATCCAGTGTTTTGAACTCTGCATCTGATAGGTCACTTATCTCCATTTAGTTCCTTTCTGGAGTTTTGTTTTCTTCTTTCATTTAGGCCATATTTCTTTGTCTCCTCAATTTGGCAACCTCCCTGTATTTGTTTCTGTGTATTAGGTAGAGCTGCGTTGACTCCCTGTCTTATCATTGTGGCCTATTGTAGAAAAGTGTGCCTATAAGTTGGATGGGGTGAAACCTTATCTAATTGCCATTGCAGGGCAACCCATTCTACTTTGTGGTTCTGTGTTGGTGAAGGCTCAGAGAGGGGACATTGCTGCGGCCTGAACTCTGGAGTTTTGTCCAGGATGAAGTTGTCTCATGGCTTCCCCCCATTGCCAGTGACTTCCCTTTGTCCCCTTATGCCACTGGTGCCGAATTACAGAGGGGGCGGGTCTGTTTAAGTCCTAAGACCTTTGTGGGCCCTTTAAGAGGATTCTTTTGAGAACCCCACAGTTTCTTCCATTGCCCCAACCTCCACTGGTTTTTACAGCCAGAGGTTATCGGGACTTATCTTCCTGGTGCTGGAATCCTAGGCTGGGTGGTTTGGTTGGTGGCTGGGATCCCTCGTTCCCAACCTATCTCTCCCATTTTTTGTCCAGCATACATGAATATGGTACCACGTGTTCTGTGTTTCTGTGCCTCTCCTCTCCACCTCTCCCTGCCTATCCATGCACTTCTCCCTGTGTCTCCATTGCTTTGCCCCTCCAATCCATCTAGGTGAATGGAGCCTTGAAGGTTCTCCGTCAGTTAATTTTCAGGAAAAAGAAAGTTGAAATCAACAAAGATAGATAAGGTGCAAATAGACAATAGAGATAAATACATGGTCTTGGAATACAAGGAAAGAAATGGGGAATAAATTACTAAAATCAAGCCATAGGAAGCATGATAGGCTAAAAATACTTTAGTACCAATGAATATTGAAAAAGGGAGGTAATTTAGTTATTACCGAAGATTAGTAAATGAATATTGAGAATGCCAAATTAAGATTGTTGGTAAATTTTCTTTGTATTAAAGGAAATAATTACTAGAATTTGAAAACTTTCCAGGAAAGTTGAAGAAAACTGGAGTAAGAGTTAGCTCTGTTAAATTACAAAAACTACAGAGCAGTAGCCTCATCTATTTTATGATTATATTTTGGATTGTATAGTACATAATCAATGTATTATAAATGCACAGTTAATTTTTGAATAAGAAATATTGGACAATTAATTAGTGGAACAAAGTATTTAGCCCAATCCATTGGCTCTATCTTTGTTTGGTCCTTGTTCTACCTTGCTCCTCCCTATAAAGATGATATGTCTATATTGTTCACATTGGTCATATATTTATTCTGAATCTTATCTCTCAGAATACATACATTTCTAGATTACAAGCCACAGAAGAACATTGTATCAAACAAGACCAGGACAGGCTGGGTTATACTGTATTAACTAAAACCCCCAAATCTCAGTGGTTTAAGTAATATAGGGTTATTTATTTACTTTTTGCTCAAAGTACATGTCTGTCAGGGTTGGTGGGTGTTTTGTGTATCACTGATCACCAGGAGAGCCATCCATACAGAGCAGCTGCCAACTGCTAAGGGAGAAAGACAACTTTGCATTTCCTCTGGCTCAGCCCGTGATTTAAGCATGAGGATGAGTCTGTTAGTAGTCACAAGCCCTCCCACTCTTCACCTAAACCCGAAGAAGATGAAGAAGTACAATCTTACCTTGTGCCTAGAAGGCAGGAAAAACTGCCTTTTTTTGTGGTAGTTTTTTGACATACCACAAGTGCAGATACTCTAAATTGGGAAGTTTGGCTGAGAATAGCACTCTCATTTTTAGTGCTTTTGGAGTCCTTGGGTGCCTTGTTTTAAACTAAAAAAAAACAATTTCACCTCCAAAACAGTATATTTGGGAAAAATAGGTTCTCTAAACATGCCATTTAAACTTAAAACAAGCCCTTTCTGGTGTGGCTCAGTGAATTGAGTACAGGCCTGTGAATCAAAGGGTTGCCAGTTCAGTTCCCAGTCAGGGCACATGCCTGGGTTGTGGGCCAGGTCCCCAGTCAGGGGAACATGGGAGAAGCAACCACACATTGATGTTTCCCTTTCTCCATCCCTTCTCCTCTCTAAAAATAAATAAAATCTTTTAAAAAATAAATGAAGTTAAAACAAAACAGAAACAAAGCAACCCAAGAGCCTGGTAGGGAATAGAGTTTGCATTATAACATTATACTGTTTGTGTTTGCAAACTCTGGGTCAAGCATGTATTTTGGTTTTTCCATATGCAGAATCTTTTAACTCCATGTAAGTTAACATTTCTTGGAAATGCTTTGCATCATAAATGTTATACTTTTGTATTCTGAATATTTAAGATATTTTTCATTTAAATCCTGAGGTAAGTTAAATAAAGTATATGGAAATTTGTTTCCAGGATAGCTCAGCCTGTATTAGGCATCTCAGAATCACATGGTCAAAACAGTGTGGTATTCTTATTAAAAGACTCCCCCATCCACTTTCTCAAGTCATCCTTCAGGCCCCCTCTTCGTCTCTCCTAGTCTGAAGCCCCACTGGAGAATGTCTCCTAAATCCATGCAGTCATCATCTTTAAATACCCTAATTCAAATCACCATATTTTCCTTTACTTGCTGCAGTAACTTCCTGATTTTCTCCAAAATGCTTTTACTCTTAACACCTTTGTGTCTGTTCTCCACAAAATTTGGTAAACTTTTAAAATTAATGAATTGGATAATTCACTCCACTACTTACAGCTATATGATGGCTTTCTCTTACTGTCCAAATCAAAACTAAATTTAAAGTTTCATGTGAAATGGCCACTAACTAATACTCTGAATCTAAGCTCATTCTTAACTATGTTAAGATCATTGCCTCTTCAGGGCCTTACTAGTTCCTTCTTCTGGAACATTCTTTCTCTGATCTTTCTCATTGTTAAGTACCAGCTTAGGTGATACCAGAGAGGCCTTCCATGACCCTCACTATCAATAAAGGTACCTCTCCCTCTCCTGTTCCGAATCACTCTTTCTAATATTGCCACATTTTACTTGTATAGTACATGTTACCCTCAAAGATTGTATTATTTTATCCTGTCTTCTAGAATATACGTTCCAAAAAATTGTTAAAATTTAATTGTTTTTAATACTCATAAAGCTTATTTTTACTGATTTATAGCATGTGGGATACAACGACTTCTTTTTTAATTTTAATTATTTTATTTATTTATTTATTTATTTATTTTTGTTTATTCTATTACAGTTGCCCCAATTTTTCCCGTTTGCCTTCCTCCTCCCAGCCTACCCCCTACTCCCACAGTCAATCCTCATACCATTGTCCATGTCCATGGGACATTCATACATGTCCTTTGGCTAATTTCTTCCCCTTCCTTCCACCATTTCCACTCTCCCCACTTTCCTCTGGCAGCTCTTAGTCTGTTCCCTGTTTCCATGTCCCTGGTTCTGTTTTGCTTATTAGTTCATTTTGTTCATTAAATTCCTCTTATTAGTGAGATCATATGGTATTTGTCTTTCACTGCCTGGCTTATTTCACTTAGCATAATGCTCTCCAGTTCCATCCATGGAGCAAAGGGTAGGAGTTCCTTCTTCTTTCTGCTGTGAAGTATTCCATTGTATAAATGTACCGTAGTTTTTTAATCCATTTGTCTACCGATAGGCATTTAGGTTGTTTCCAGCGCTTGGCTATTGTAAATTGTGTTGCTGTGAACATAGGGGTGCCTAAGTTCTTTTGAATTGGTGTTTTAGGATTCTTAGTATGTAATCCCAGCAATGGAATTACAGGGTCAAAAGGCAGTTTCATTTTTTATTTTTTGAGGGAATTCCATATGGTTTTCCACAGTAGCTGCATCAGTCTGCATTCCCACCAACAGTGCATTAGGGTTCCTTTTTCTCCCCATCCTCACCAGGTTAAGATATAATATATTTTTAAAGACTTTCTGAAAAGTACAGCCTTACTATAACACAATGTGTGCATTCCTAAAAATTACCATACTGTGCATAATTGTGGAGTGATCTGAGGAAAATGGGATTAGGATTACAACATTCAACAGTTTTGCCAGTCATACATAAAAAAAAAAGAACCTAATAAAAATACTAGCACTATTTTATACATGTTAAATGATTGATAAATAGAAACTTACTGTTGGTGGGAATGGAGACTGGTACAGCCACTATGCAAACAGTGGAATTTCCTCAAAAAAACGAAAAATGGAACTGTCTTTGACCCAGCAATTCCATTGCTAGAATTATACTCTAAGAACCCTGAATCACCAATTCAACAGAACCTATGCACCCCTATATTCACAGCAACACAATTTTATAATAGCCAAGTGCTGGAAGTAATCTAAGTGCCCACTGGTAAATGAATGGATCAAAAAACTGTGGTATATTTACAGAATGGAATATTGTGCAGCAGAAAGAAAGAAGGAACTCCTACCCTTTACCACAGCATGGATGGAACTGGAGACTATTTTGCTAAATGATATAAGCCAGTCAGTGAAAGACAAATACCATATGATTTCACCTTTAAGTGGAACCTAATCAACAAAACAAAAAAAGCGAGCAACATAGAACCAGAGACATGGAAAAAAAGAACAAACCAACAGTAATCAGAGGGGAGGGGGAAATAGAATAAGTGGGGAAAGAAGAGGAAGGGTTGTCAGGGAACATGTATAAAGGACCCATGGACAAACACAATGGGGTGGGGGGCACGGTCGGGGGAAGGATTGAATATGGGAGGTGGGGGTGGTTAGAGCAGGGGAGAGTAATGGGAGGGAAATGGGGACAACTGTAATTGAACAACAATAAAATTAAAAATAAATAAAGATAAAAAAGAAAATTATTATAATAAATATGGTACTCTACCTTGAAAAAGACACAGTGTGTTTAAAATGAACTTCAAAAGGACTGCATCTTGGAAGCGTTGAAGGAGTAGTGCAAGGCAGGTTGTCTGAAATCTGACAGAAAGTTGTAACACCAGATGTAGATAGGTGTGGTTCATAGCATCATGCAGTAAGCTGAGGCAGCTGGTAACTCAGCTGGTAGTATATTTTGTGGATTTCTACATTACCCCATTCAATTTTCTGAACTCAATTCATGGGTGCAATTTTCTGTATTTATCTAGTGAAGTGTTTGTCCCAGAGAAGAAATTGCACATAGCCAAATATGAAATTCATGTTATGCTAAAATGGTTCTCTAATGTACTGATCACACATAGGAGCAGATTTACCTCAAAACAAGCATTATAGAACTGAAATTTTAGAGTTAAATGTAGTTGCATGAATAGTATACTTTCCATATAGCTTACCAAGTTCCTCTAAATGTTTACATCTTATATAACCATAGTACCAGAAAATAAAATTGATGTTATAGTGTCAATTATTCAGATTTTGTCATTTTTTTATTATTGTTTTTCTTTTCCAGGAGCCAGCTCAAGATCACATATTTCACCCAGTTATCATGTCTCCTTGTCTTCATCAGTCAGGGACAGTCCCTCATTCTTTCTTGTCTTTCCTGGTATTGATACTGCAAAGAGTACTGGCCAATCAGTTATTTTGTGGAGTACTCCCTAATTTGGATTTGTCTGATGTTTCTTCCTGGTTAGATTGAGGTTACGCATTTTGGGCAGGGAAACCATAGAAAGGATGTCACAGCCTTCTCAGTGCACCATATACACGAGATGTAGGACTTTAATTTTTAAGATGTGTTTAGTATTTCTAAGGTTTAGTTGTGCAATTAAATTTGTTGTTTATACTTTACAGCCATTGGTTTGTAATGTGAGGTTTAATATCCTATATTTTTATTGACTCTTTGACATTTTTTTTCTTACGGATAAGCACTGTGAAAAAGAATTATGGTATTATGGGTATGCCTTTATATCCTTTGTTTAATTTTCTGAAATGTAGTAAATTTTGATCCCTCAGTTATTTTTATCAATTTGAGAGGTTGTAATACTTTTAAAGTAGTGGTGTTTTTCTGTATTGTCTTTGTAAAATCTTTTTATATAATGACTATCATTATTTTGTTTCAGTTTCAATAGTAATGGGAATTCCTACTGTGAAGAGAGAAGTTAAATCTTACCTCATAGAAACTCTTCATTCCCTTATTGATAATTTGTATCCTGAAGAGAAGTTGGACTGTGTAATAGTGGTCTTCATAGGAGAGGTAATTATTTAATTGTTACTATTTTTTTACCACATATAATATATGAGTTGAAACTATAGTTGGATATTTGAATATACTTTTATGAGCATTTTTTACAAATGTGATGGGTAAAAGTTAGGTGATATTCCATCCAATAGTTACATTTAAGTCTAACTTGTTATGTTTGCCTTAACTTTTCTCCTGCAGTTACAATCAAGAAATAGTCATCTGTTTTCGGTAGAATAAATATTACATACATTGATCTTTAAGAAGAGTGAGTTCCTATTTCTAGCTCCAGGACCTAAATTTGGAGATTTGCACTGATGTTCTTTCAGAGCTGTGAAACCTGAGGAAGGTTTAGCCTAGCCTGGGGTTTTATTATCTTGCTGTTTTCTCCACCCCTCGTTTGCACTCACAAGGTGCAGCCATTAATATTATTGAAAACAAAATATCATAAGAATGAAGGCTATTATATGTGTTGTATTTTAGTTTGCTCAAAAGGTTTAGGGAAAGAAATCATAAATAATGAGGAAAAAGCACCCTGGAGTAATTACATTATTATATAAGAGTAAATAAATGCATACTGTTCAAAACAATTACAAATATATATAATTAAAAAATTATCTGTTATTCCTCCATACAGATAGAACAATTACAGGTATTCTGAAATATAAGAAAAATTTTTCATTGTTTGCTTATGTATATATAAATGTATTTGTTCTATATGTATTTTAATGTCATGGATATTTTTTTCATGTTGAAAAGAAAATTGCAGCATCATTTTTTCTGGTTACAAAATATTCCATTGAATGGTTTTAACATAATTTATTTAATTTCTGATTGTTAGATATTTAACCTGCTCAGGTTTTTGCTCTTATTTTCAACATGGCATTGAGCATTAGTGTAAATAAACTGTTGGGAGATGGGATCAGTTTCTAAATGTGGAATTGCCTTGGTTCACATACATTAACATGTTCACACATGGCCAAAATGCCCAACAGAAATTGAGCCAGTTTATCTCTTTTCCAACATCCAGTTAGAAATCTTTTCCTGTTCCCATGCTCTGCTAGATAATAATAGTCTTTAATTTTTTTCAATTTGATGAGTAAAAAAATAATACATTGCTTTGGATTAATTTATATTTTTTTACTGAGTGGGGTTAAATGTTGATTCATAGGTTTTTATGGACCATTTTTATTTATAATATTTATATAACCTTTGCTCATATTTTTATTTGTAAGAAATTTTCATATATGAGAGGAATGAATTCTTTGAAATATTTAGTCCAGTTACTTTTTTGCATGAATTTCATTGATGGTTTTTCTTGTCTGTTATAGAAATTATACATTTGAAGTTATTAAATTTGTCATTTGCATATTATATACCGGTAGAAATTGTTACAACCTCCTTAGAAAGCAATTTGGCAATTGCTATTAAAATTTAAAGTATATTCTGTGACACAGTTTTCTGTAAACACATATACATGTATACAGCTCTTACATATACATTAATAAAATGAATAGAGAAAATGGCTCTGGCTGGATTGCTGAGTTGGTTGGAGCATCATCCTGTATACCAAAAGGTTCCAGGTTTGATTCCCAGTCAAGGCACATAGCTAGGTTGTGGGTTTGATCCCCGCTTGGGGTGTGTACAGGAGGCAACCAGTTAGTGTTTCTCTCTCATATTGACGTGTGTGTCTCTCTCTCCCTGTCCTTCCTCCCCCCCTTTTCTCTCTCTCTAAAGTCAATAAACATATCCTTGGGTGAGGATTAAAAAAATAAATAGAGAAAATTGTCTTGTGGAATATACTACAAACTATTAGTAGGTATCTTGAAAGTTGAGATTATGGGGAGATGCCGCCTTCTTTTGCATACAGTTTTATAAAATTAGATTTTTTAACAGTGAACATATTAATTTTTAATCAGAAAAAGTCTTAATACTATAAGAGAAAAAATCTATCTTATACACTTGAAAAATGATGTATAGTATATAGACAGATTAGTGTGCATTAATCTGTCTATATACTGATGGTATATATTATATATGTATACAATATATATTGTATATATTTACTTTATATACAATAAAGATTCAAGACCCTCTTGCCATAGCTATTTATTTGATAGTAAGATGTAATAACATTCCATTTGGAGTCAAATGACTTGTGTTCAGGGTCTAGATTCTGCCACTTACTGCCACTTGAGCAGATTGTTTTATTTTCTTCATTCTCAGTTTCTTTATCTCTAAAACAAGAATGTTATTGAGCCATCTAGGCTTAGTATTGTTGCAGGGAGGCATGAGAATATTTATCACATATGGAGAGTGTGGTACAAAGTGTGGTACAAAGCATCAGCAGTATTCTGACCTGAACATGCACCACCCCCCCAGATTGCAGTATTGTATATATGTATCTATATATCATTTTATTTATTTATTTTGGGGAATTTCACTGAACATTTATTATTTATTTATTTTAATAGTTTATTTATTTATTTTTAGAGAGAGGGGAAGGGAAGGAGAAAGAGTGGGAGAGAAACATCAATGTGCGGTTGCCTCTCATTTGTCCTCCACTGGGGACCTGGCCCACACCCAGGCATGTGCCCTGACTGGGAATTCAATCGGTGGCCCTTTGCTCCACAGGTCCGCACTCAATCCACTGAGCTACACCAGCCAAGGCTGAACTTTTATTTTATTAAATTTTTTATTTTTATTTTATTTTTTTATTTATTTAATTTTTTTATAATAAATTTTATTTAGTTACTTTTCAAGTACATTTTTTTATCTATTTCTCCCATCCCACCCCCCACCCACCCTGTCTCCCCCCTCCCTCCAGTTTCCCCTCCCCCAGTCCTCATCCCTGTGTCTTTCATACTTGTTCCTCAAAATCCCTCCCCCTTTTTCCCCTTAAATTCCCTTCCCTCTCCCCTCTGGTCGCTGCCCACTTGTTCTCTATTTCAGTGTCTTTGTTTTTATTCTGTTTGCTTGTTTGTTTTATTCTTTAGCTTCCTGTCAAAGGTGAGATCATATGGTATTTGTCTTTCAATGTCTGACCTATTTCACTCAGCATAATGCTTTCCAGTTCCATCCATGTTGTTGCAAAGGGTAGTAGCTCCTTCTTTCTCTCTGCTGCATAGAATTCCATTGTGTATATGTACCGCAATTTTTTGATCCATTCGTTTACTGATGGGCACCTAGGTTGCTTCCAGCTCTTGGCTATTGTAAATTGTGCTGCTATGAACATTGTGGTGCATAGGTTCTTTGAAATTGATGTTTTAGGATTCTTGGGGTATAATCCTAGCAGTGGAATTGCTGGGTCAAAAGGCAGGTCAATTTTTATTTTTCTGAGAAAATTCCATACTGTTTTCCATAATGGTTGTACCAGTCTGCAATCCCATCAACAGTGAACTAAGGTCCCCCTTTTCCCCACAACCTCTCCAACATTTGTTGTTTGTTGCTTTGTTTATGATAGCCATCCTGACTGGTGTAAAGTGGTATCTCATTGTGGTTTTAATTTGCATCTCTCTGATAGCTAATGATATTGAGCATCTCTTCATGTGTCTCTGGATATTCTGTACGTCCTCTTTAGAGAAGTGTCTGTTCATGTCCTTTTCCCATTTTTTAATTGGGTTCAATGTCTTCCTAGAGTGGAGTCGTGTGAGTTCTTTGTATATTTTAGAGATTAAACCTTTGTCTGAGGTATCATTGGCAAATATGTTTTCCCATACAGTTGGTTGTCTTTTTAATTTAATACTGTTTTCTTTAGCCCTGCAGAAGCTTTTTATTTTGATGTGATCCCATTTGTTTATTCTTTCCTTTATATTCCTTGCTCTAGGGGACATATCCGTAAAAATGTTGCTGCGTGGAATATCTGAGATTTTCTTGCCAATGTTCTCCTCTAGGACTTTAATGGTGTCACGGCTTATATTTAAGTCTTTTATCCACCTTGAATTTATTTTGGTGTATGGTGTAAGTTGGTGCTCAAGTTTCATTTTTTTTCACGTAGCTGTCCAGTTCTCCCAACACCATTTGCTGAAGAGGCTATCTTTACTCCATTTTATGTTACTACCCCCTTTGTCAAATATTAATTGACTGTAGAGAGTTGGGTTGATTTCTGGGCTCTCTGTTCTGTTCCATTGGTCTATGTGCCTGTTTTTATGCCAGTACCAGGCTGTTTTGATTACAGTGGCTTTGTAATACAGTTTGATATCAGGTATTGTGATCCCTCCTACTTTGTTCTTCTTTCTCAAAAGAGCAGCTGCTATTCGGGCTTGTTTATGATTCCATATAAATTTTTGAAGTGTTTGTTCTATGTCTGTGAAATACACCATTGGTACTTTAATAGGTATTGCATTGAATCTGTATATTGCTTTGGGTAGTATGGACATTTTGATGATGTTAATTCTTCCAATCCATGAACAAGGTATATGTTTCCATTTGTTTGTGTCTTCCTTGATTTCTTTCTTCAGTGCTGTGTAGTTTTCTGCATACAGGTCTTTTACCTCCTTGGTTAGGTTTATTCCCAGATATTTTATTTTTCTTTTTGCTATATCGAATGGGATTTTTAAATTTTTTATTGATTATGCTGTTACAGTTGTTCTATTCCCCCTTTCATTCCCCTCCACCCTACCCCCCCATCCCCACCATTACCCCCCTCTTTAGTTTATGACCATGTGTCTCAAGTTCTTTAGATTCTATATTTCCCCTACTATTCTTGCCCCCCCCCATCTATTTTCTATCTACTGTCTATGCTACTTATTTTCTGTACCTTCTCCCCCCTTCTCCTCCTCTCACTCCCCTGTTGCTAACCCTCCTTCATTTCTGTTTCCACTCCTGATCTAGCTGTCCTTTTAGTTTGCTTTCGTTTTAGGTGTGGTTGTTATAACTGTGAGTTTGTTGTCCTTTCACTGTTCATGTTGCTTTAACTTCTTTTTCTTAGGTAAGTCCCTTTAACATTTCATATAATAAGGGCTTGGTGATGATGAACTCCTTGAATTTGATCTTATCTGAGAAGCACCTTATCT